GGAAGCAATTGACGCTTTCATTGAGGGTGAAGAGTGGAACAAAGCCAAGCGTGTGGCTAAGGAGTTAGACCCCCGGTAAAGTCATGACTCTTTCTCCCTGGCAATCCTCTTTTACTTCTTTTTGTAAACACTGGGAGGGTTGGCACCCCAGGACCATGAAGTTAGAGATCTTTGTACTTTTTCACAGGTATGAAGACTATGTGGACCAGCATTATAAGGAGTTCCTCAAGAACCAGGGCAAAGTAGACTCAGTGAGACTTGAAGAATTGGGGGGGGGGAGCGGATTATAGTTATGTAGTAGAGAACTTGCCTAGCACTTGCCAGGCCCTGGGTTCAATCCCTGGCTCCCCAAAAACAAGAATAAAAGTCAAATGCAGGGAGAGGTGCTAGAGAGTCTCTCCCTCTTTTCTCCCCTGGGTCATCATCTCTCCTGTTCAACTGTCTTTTCCATTGCTCCACAGCTGGTGGGTGTGGATGTGGTAGCTGCCTTAGACCTGTATGTGGAGCAGGGCCAGTGGGACAAGTGCATCGAAACAGCTACCAAGCAGGTACCTAGTCTCTCCTTCCTACTCTCAGCTCTCTTTACCTTTTGCCTTGTTTCCTCACCTGCTCCAGAGCTGCCTCTCTCTCAATTCCACCAATCCCTAGAGGTCCCTAGAGCATCAGAGAGCATGGTCTTCCACACTCTAAAATTGGGATCCACATAGCATTAAGCCCATTGCCTCCTAAACAAATCCATGGCTTCAAGTCACCACCCTACCCTCACTACTGGTCTTACTGATTCCAAATTTTTCCCCACTATTCCTCCACCTCCAAACAGAACTACAAGATTCTGCACAAGTACGTGGCTTTGTATGCGACTCACCTGATCCGGGAGGGTGGCTGTGCCCAAGCACTGGCCCTCTATGTGCAACATGGAGCCCCTGCTAACCCACAGGTACCATCTTCTTCTAGGGGTGAATATTTCCACCAGGGTATTCTTTCTTGCTCCTCTGGAACCACACATGCCTTCAGAAACTGTCTTCTCCAAGGTTCCCATCCGTGGAGAACATTCTGCCTAGAATCCCACATCTAGCCTGTCTTGACATACATGGTCTTGGGAGCGGGGAGGACGTAAGGAAAGGGTGTAGGAGGTGAATATGGTGGAAATACTATGTACTCATGTATGAAAATGGAAAACTGAGACCTGTTGAAACCATTCTAAGAATGGAGGAGTAATGGAGACTGATGGAGGGGGTGAATTCAACTAAGATACATTGTAAGCACTTCTGTGAATGTCACGATGTACCCCCAGTACAACAATCATATAATTAAAAAAATGGTTAAAAAAAAAAAAAGAAAGAAAGAAACAACAAAAAGAAATATACAGCCTCTCCGGGGAACTTATCCTATAAGGAAACACTTACAGAGATGCCCGTGTTCTTAGCGAATACAGGGACTGGCTTTCCAAGAGGAATCCTTCACACCCTCAAGTGCCTTTCTCGAAGTGTTTACTTCCAGAAAGTAAACACTACTCTCCTGTTGGAGAAAGACAGCTCTCTGGAATATTATCCCATTAACACTGTGACTACATTCACATTTGTACTTTGCCCACACTCACACAGCACCAGCTAATGAGAAATAGTTATCTTACCCCTCCTCTTTCTCTACTCTAAAAATAATTAGCACTTTCTCCATTGTCCTCTAACTCTTAACATGCACACTTGCAGCCTATTTGTCCTTCCTTTCTGTCCACCCCCACTGACTTTCTCTTCTGCTTGAGCCTCTCAGATCCCTTTATTCCCTCTACTTATAGAACTTCAACATCTACAAAAGGATCTTCACTGACATGGTCAGCTCTCCTGGGACCAACAGTGCCGAGGCCTACCATAGCTGGGCTGATCTTCGTGATGTCCTCTTCAACCTGGTGAGTAAGTTGGGTTGACAACAAAGTAAAAAGTGCTCCTTCCCCTGCCCCTGTCCCAGTCTCTCCTTTCACACACATAAACCTTTATCCTCAGATGTATTTTGCCTTCCTCTGTCTACATGGCCATCAGTGACCGCCCTGTGGCCCTGGCCTTCTGAGCCAGGCTGTGCTCTTTTCCTTTTCTAGTGTGAAAACCTGGTAAAGTCCAGTGAGGCAAATTCTGCAGCCCATGAGGAGTTTGAGACGATGCTGCTCATTGCTCATTACTATGCCACACGCTGTGCAGCCCAGAGCGTCAAACAGCTGGTGAGACACAGCAGGAGAGATGACTCGCACAGCACTTGAAGGATCTCAGACCTTTGGAACTGAATGAATCCAAGTTCTGGATTCTCACTTAGGCTCTTGGACTTCACATTTCTCTCTGCTTCTCTTCTAACTCAGCCTTTAACCTTTGCTGAGATGGATTTTCTTCCTATACTGCTTTCACCTTCTTAGGATTCTGCCCACATAGCTCCAGCCTCATTCTGTTCATTTTTATTTTTTATTTTTTAGCAGTGCTTGTGATTAAACCCAGGGCCTCATGCATACCAGGCAAGTGCTGTACCGCTGAGCTATAGCCTGGCCTCATCATGTTAAACATTCAAATCCCATGATTTCTTATTCACCTCCTATAATGTACATGTGCTTTTAGTTTATTTTTTTAGGCAAAATTATTTAATGTCAATAAATTTTTATTTAATAATTTTACAAGCAGAATTTGCTACATGTTTTGATTGGTTCACTGCACATCAAGATCACCTCTAAAGCTGATTTTTCTTCCAAGATAGCCCTCTTTAAAAGATGCTTAATCCATTTGTCCTACGTGACAAAAATATGAGATGAACACATTACCAAGAAAAACATACATTACAAATGTTGCAGTGTTACACAGTATTTGGCTGTTACAAAATCTCATTAGCAATGAAGTAGCCATTAGAAAAGTCCTGTGGGTTGCATGGTTAGTTCTACTGGGCAATAGTGTCCCCTATATGCTAACAAAGTAGCATATAGAAAACCTAGTGAGAAAATTTTTTGTGGTCATGTCCACAGCAAATGAGAAACTGCATTCTAAAAGCCTTGTTAATGACCATATGTTTTTGATAATTTACTGTGTATTCATATAGGCCCAGGTCTGTTGTGCTGATGAAAAAAACTTAAGACCAAGACAGCCTGAGATCCAGAGCAGTCTAGTATTGATTGTTGGTTTTCTAGTTCCTGTAGCTGCCTTAGTTACAAAAGGATCACAGGTCTGGTAGTTCAGTCCTGTAGTACCAGGATCATAAAGCTTTGCCTTTATCCACAGGAAACTGTGGCTGCCAGGCTTTCTGTTTCACTCTTGCGCCACACCCAGCTACTACCTGCAGACAAGGCCTTCTATGAAGCAGGCATTGCTGCCAAGGTGAGCAAGGACAAGGAAGGGTGGGGCTAAATAAGGAAATCAGAAGTTGGAAGATGAAGAATCCCTTGAGCAAAGCTGAGTGTGGAGCTGATGTTATGGAGGACATAATTCTACATTTGCCTGGTGTGTTTTCTCTGCACCCTAGAGAAGTAGCATCCAAGCTCAGCTTGCTCACTTGCACCTCTTCTCTGCTGCAGGCAGTTGGCTGGGAGGACATGGCCTTCATCTTCCTCAACCGCTTTTTGGATTTGACGGATGTGAGTAGGGAATTTGTGCCCAGAGTTGGGAGTTTGCCTGTCACAACCTGTGCCTATCTCATGGTTATCCATTCTGCCTCAGGCAATTGAAGAAGGGACTCTGGATGCCCTTGACCACTCAGATTTTCAGGATACGGACATCCCCTTTGAGGTGCCACTCCCAGCTAAGCAGCACATACCGGTAAGGGTGTGCAGAATTGCCAAATGGGAAGGATTCACCAGTTGAAGTGCATCGAGAAGGGAGGACAGCTTTGGGCTGCCATTTTTGGAAGGACCTCAGTCCTCACTATTGCCTCAGAGAAACTAGAGAATTGACTGTGTTACTCAATCCAAGGAGGATCATTTATGGCTGAAAGTTTTGTATGGAATGAAGGCTTAGCAAACTCCCCTACTCCCACTCCCCACTTTTCTCTGCTACTACTCCCACTGTCCTTCCCAGGAAGCCCAGAGAGAAGAGATTCGAGACTGGGTGCTCACAGTCTCCATGGACCAGCGGCTAGAGCAGGTTCTGCCTCGAGATGAGCGTGGCGTCTATGAGGCCTCCCTAGTGGCAGCAAGCACTGGTGTTCGAGCACTGCCCTGCCTCATTACAGGTATAGAACAGCACTCCACACCCTGTAATAGGTGGAACAACAGGGAAGGCAGCAGAATCAAAAACTTTATTTCACTAGAGGTGTGGCTCAAGTGGTAGAGCACCTGTCTGACAAGTGTGAAGCCCTGAGTTCAAACTCCAGTACCTCCAAAAAGAATTATATTAAAAATTTTCACTTTAATTTAGTAAAGGGTACACAAGACAGCCATCCCACTCTTTATTCCCAGGCTGCTGTTCATCTGAACCCCCCGAATCTCTCAAATTTCAACTCATCTCTGTCTTTTCCCACAGGTTACCCCATTCTGAGGAACAAAATTGAATTTAAGCGGCCAGGGAAGGCTGCTAACAAAGACAACTGGAATAAGTTTCTTATGGCCATCAAGGTTAGAGAAAGAGACTTGAAGGATGAGGACAAGGGAGAGCAGCACTTGAGGGGGTGGAGTATGAGACGAAGTGCACTGGAAGGGTGTGTGGGATTATCCAGAAGGCAGGTGCAGACCCTGAATCTGCTACCTGTGACACTGAGATGGAGTGATGTCCCCTGTACCAGTACTGAGTTCCTCTTGTGTTCTTTCCCTTTGCTCACAGACCTCTCACAGCCCAGTGTGCCAGGATGTGCTGAAATTCATCAGTCAGTGGTGTGGAGGGCTCCCCAGCACCAGCTTTTCCTTTCAGTGACTGATAAAGTTGAGGAAGAGCTTGGGTTTCTCCCCCATTAAAGTTCTGTAAGTAATCAAGACCACTGTATTCTTTGGTCACAATCACCCAAAACACCAGCACCATGTTCTTTTCCTCCAAAAGGAATCATAATCAAGTAGAAGAAAAGAAGTTCTTTTATTACAATTATTTATATCATCCTGGGGTCAGGGTCCTTTGCTTAGTGGAAACACTTATAGACTGAGCCTCAGAACAGCAGCTGCCTGATAAAAGAACCAACCAGGTCAGAGAGGGAAGCAGCTTAGCAAAGAACTAGCCCCAGTCCCAAGAACACTTTCCTGCCCCCATTCTTACCCAGGCCCCACCTTCAGGGCCCTTTAGCTGTCCTAAACCCAGGTTTTCTCTGAGGCCTGAAATTCTTGATGTTGATCCAGTAGCTTCACATTTTCCTGCCTTTTACATATTGGAGGTTCAAGCTCTGTCAGTTCCTCCAGCTGCAGAAGAGAGTAGAGTCAGACCCCTGTCCCTGAATGATACATCAGCTCCTTTTCAACACAGCTAGGCTGTGTGGCATGAACCCTTCCTCTTCCTCTTTCTTACCTGTTCCTGAAACCCTTCCTTCCTGCAGGGCCCAACTCCACGTAAGGTGAGTGCGGCCACACAGCAGTAACCAGACAGAGCAGCTTCTGCTGCAGACATGAGCAGAGAAGGGATCCAGAGAGCCAAGGCTGTATCCTAAAAGCAAAAGGAAGGATGGGGGCTAAGGGAAGTTGGGCAGGAGCAACAAACGGGAAATGAAAAGGGCAGGACTAAGTCTTTGAGGACAGCAAGAGAATATGCTCACATAGATTCTTGTGGGATCAAAGGAGCAGTTGGTTTGCCCAGGGCCCTGATCCAGTGGTATGGAAGGATCCAGCAGCCCTGGATGGCAGTCAGCAATAAGACGGCGGCCACCGTTGGCCACAGTGAGGCACACAGCAAGGAGGAGGCCCATGGAGCAGGCAGCAGACAGGAGCAGATTCACCAGAGCCAGTGCCAGCAGGGCCCAGTGCTGGCAGGGCAGAAAATGAGGGTGAGGAGTCTGGGCCTGCTAAGTCTCCCAGTGCCTAGACAGAGCTGAGACAGCCCCCTGTTCCCCTCTCACCAGTAGTGGGTGAAGAAGGTTCCTGGATGCCAACAGGGCCACAAGTCCCACGGAAACGCTCTGTGGAAGACACCAAGCCTTTTGCCCTCTGCCTTTCGGCGCACCCATCCCACTCAGTCCGCCCGAAGTGCTCACCAGCAGCCCAGAGCCCACGGAGATGACATTGGCAGTGGTGTACTCCGGCGTGACGGCGCCGCGGGGATTGGCCACGTGTCGCAGGACTGTACCGTGCAGCACAGCTCCCACCAGCAAGTTCACGTGGCCCACCAGGATCAGCGCCAGGCCCACGCGCATCAGCCGCCGGGGCCCTCGCGCGGCGTCTGCAAAGCAGGGGGAGGGGCACACCTGAGCCAGCGGGGCGGGTGGGGCGGGCTGGGCGGCCAGAGAAGAAAGAGGCCCAGCGGCAAAGCCAGCCCGGTCTCTAGAGCCCGCTGAGGGGCGGCGGGGTAGGAGGAAGGTGGAAAGTTACCGAAGGAGCAGAGGCGGCAGTCCCTCATCCCGTGTTCGCGCCGCTCAGTGCCGCGCCGAGCGGCACTACCTGGGCCTGGCTCCGCCTCTGGCCCTCGAGCCCGGCCCCGCCCCGCCGTCCACCTGAGGCCCAGCCTCCTAGGCGGCCACTGGGCAGATCCACTTAGGCCCCGCCCTCCGGCCCAAGCAGGTCTTGCGCAAGGCTATGGTCACCGCCCACTGCCCCTGTGCAGCGAGAAGCAAGCACACGACGCTTTTAGCAAAAAGTAGACTTTATTACAGCAGCAACTGAGGCGAATCGAATGGCCCCCCAGGACCACCACTGCAGCACCACCTCTCCTGCCCATCAGCCCCAGCGAGATTGTAGAACTCGGCTCCCCCAGTGCCCGTGGGCCTCCTGTCCACACAGGCTGGGCGGGAGCCAGCAGGTCGGCTACTAGCTCCCAGCTAGAAGGCGGCTGCTGAGAAGGCCCAGGCCCACGTCTGTGCAAAACAAGTAAACAAAGTGCAGAGGGGAGGGAGAGAGGGGAAGGGGTAGGATGATGCTCAGAAACAGGGAGCCCCCAGACCCTCCTGAATAATAAAGGAGAGAAGGGGCTTCACAGGGTAATACTGACTGGGGGAGGGGGGGTTAGGGGCAGGAGGGCTGCAGCACATTCAGGACAGCCACAGCTCAGATAGGGGCCTGGCTCTAAGAGGAGACGGTGACAGCGGCTGAGTTGAGGGTGCTGTTCCTGGCAAAATTGAACTTGTTCAGGGTCTCCTCAAGCAGGGAGGTCAGCCGGCTCTGGTCAGCCTAGGGAGAGAAGCTCAGTGAGACAGCTGAGGGAGGAAAAGGCAGGGGACCATGGATAGGCAAGAACCTCACCTCACTAATGAAGCCTAGCTGCACCAATTCAGCTGCCAACTCAGGGATGTTCTCATCTGAGAGAAACAGGAGGGGTGAGTCCAGTATGAGAGTAAGGGACACAGAACCAGCCCTTCAAATTGCCCAGCCAGCCACCAACTTTAGGGGCTGAAGATAGTCATTCTGTGTGAATCAAGTGTGTTACTGCCTTATCCCACCCCTGAATGTCCCTCAAAGGTAAGGCTCACAGACCCTCCCATCCTCCAAGGAAAAGGACTCACTTGGCATCAGGTCACAGCTCAGGTGCCGGTTCAGTTTGTCCTCCAGCTTCAGCAGAAGTGTCAGCTAGAAAAAAGGACAGTGAGAAAACAGGGTTCCCCTTCCCCGCCCTCTGGCCACCCTCACTTGTAGCCCTGGCCCTGAACCTTACATGGTGTTTGACTCCTTCCTCCACTGACTCAATGTTGCACTGCATCAGCACCACCTAGGACAGAATAGAGGGTCACCAAAGTAAAGATCAGTCAATAAAAACCACCAACACCTGGTGGCCAAGGGGTAGCAGTGCATCCTATAAAGGATAAAGCCTGGGCGGAGATGTCCCTTCCTCTATGACCATGGACACATTCACATCCACACAGCTCACACCTTACGGGTCTCCACCTCAGCTGGCTCAGGTGTTGGAGTCTTAACAGAGGGGGGTACAACAGGTGATGTCACCTCCTCTTGCTGTGGCTGCTGAGGCCGAGGCAGCCCAAAGGCTGTCAGAGGGTAGATCCCATTCCTGGAGGGAGATAAAGATAGGTCACATGGGCTTTCCAAATGACTCAGGACACCTGCCCTTGCTCCCTCAGGAAAGCCTGCTTTCTCATTCTCTCACCTGACATCTTCAAGGAATTTGTCTAATTCTAGAGCTGGTGACTGAGAGTACCTGAAGGAGAGAAAAGACAGACAATGGAAGGAAGGAAATAAGCAAAATAGCAGATTTAATCTTTCCCAGAGAATGGGCATTTTACAGAACCTCAGGGTGGTAATGACCAATCTATCCCTTTCAGGTCTTCTCAGTTGACTACTCACAAAGTCTGAATTGGTTCTCTTCCTGGTCCTGCAGGGATTTCAGCCAGTACTGCACTGGTATCCATGTTTTTTGTGATCTCCTCCAGCGCATTCTCTGGAATCATATCTGAAGGGCATGATTGAGTGGAATGTTACGGAGAGACAGATTAGTGTTACAGGAGGCACAGAGATAAAGAATCCCTTTGGAAATAAAAGAGGAAGGAGAGCGTGCCAGTGATATTTACAAGGCCTGAAGCTGGAAGAAAATCCCTAGCAGGGTCAAGGGGACTCACGCTGGTGTCCCACAATGCAGTGGGCAGCAAGGAGTTTGAGCGAGGGCACTTCAAACAGTGCTGGGTGGAAAAGAAGTTCTCTGGCTGTTGGTCTGCGAGCAGGCTCAGACTGCAGGCACTTTTGGATGAACTCCTAGAGGAGAGCAAGAAACTGAAGCAGGCATCTGGCAACTCACCGCCCCCCCACCACCACTACCACACACACTGTGTTCATCTTTATAGCTTTCAGTATACTTAGGAAAAAGCTTGGTACACACTAGCTCAGCACTTATTGAGAAAACATATTGCTGTGTTTCATATTGATAGGAAAGCACGTGAAAGGGCTTCAAAAATATAAACTATGATATGAAAGATATCATTCATTATCTTTCTGGTTTTAATTATTTTTCTACTCTCCAATCACAACCTTTTTCTTTAATTTTCAAACTTACTATTTCCTTTCCTTTTTTGTTTTATTAGCCCACTCACCGCCAACCTTTCTTCTCTAATCCTTGCTAAATTTAGTTTTTTCCATCTCAAACTTAACCCATTGTGATGATGATCACCACATATGTGATATATATATAGGACATATATATATATACATATGTCACTATAAATATATATATATATATATGACCACTATAAATACATATATACATATGTATATTTTTTTAGATCCTTTAAATCTTAGCTCATTATTTCAGGGAAACTTTTCTAACTAAAACCGTATAAATATAAAATCCCAAAAATGACTCTTTTGGTTAATTTAAATTGATTTGCTTTAAAATATCAAAATGGAAGTGGGGGTGGTAGTTCATGCCTGTAATCTTAGCTACTCAGGAGGCAGAGATCTGGAGGATCGTGGTTTGAAGTCAGCCCAGGCAAACAGTATGCAAGACCCCATGTGGAAAAAGCCCACCACAAAAAAGTTCTGGTAGGGTGACCAAAGGTAGGCCCTGAGTTCAAACCCCACAACCACACACACACACACACACACACACACACACACACACACACACACACACACACAATCAAAAGTGTATAGCAACTTCCTGCAATAACCATCAAATCAGTTTACCTCCATGCATTAACACACAATTTTAACCTTAGTATTACACATCTTAACCCCTAACCTGTGTTTACACAAAAGCTTATTAGGTACCTCCTAGGGAAATTTTACAGCTGTTTTTCCTTTTCTGCTTTATGTACTCTTGCTCTTGGAAGACCACATATTCCCAGTAGGTAAAGAAAAACCTGTTGGGAACATGGCTCAAGTAGTACAGCACCTGCCTAGCAAGTGCAAGGCCAAGTTCAAACCCTAGTACTGCTAAAAAAAAAAAAAAAAAGAAAAGAAAAAGAAAAATACTAAGGAGGGAACAATCCTAAAGAGCCTTACCCTCTGTAATGAGTCTTCTAATAGCTGGATGGCACTACTGATGGCTTCCTGTGGCACATATGAGGACTCTCCATTGCCCTGAATCTCCAGCACGGCCATCTGCAGTTGAGGAGGAACCCAAAGGAAAAGGAGAGACCTAAGAACCCCAGCCCTCCCACAATCACTCCCTCAAAATCAACACCTTGTCTTTTAACTTCACACTTTCCTTATTTCCCCCCTCCATCTCCTCACCTCCAGTGCACACATTCCAAAGGAGTAGATGTCCACTGCTGTTGTCACATTAGTGACTTCTAGGGAAAGCAAAGAGGGTTTGGTAAAGCAGAGGATTGGGGGCAAGGAGTGGCAGACATGCCTTTAAAAAAAAAAAAGAAAAGAAATACTGTATGCTAGATGCTAGTGCAGAAGGACTAATACAGTTTCAGTTGTATTACCTCTGCACCTCAGGTCATAAGTACAAAATTACGGTAGAGAAGCCAGGATGCCTTACCTCCATACTCAGGTGCAAAGAAGTGTAGATTCTTCTGCTCTTCCCGACAAGTCTTCACATGATTGTTGATAGTGTCAGGAGCCACTGGGAGTAGGGGAGATACCCACAATCTGACCACCACCAACAAAGCATGGTCTTATTCCAGAGAGAGGCCCAAAAGCCAAATTTCTTCTGAAGTCTCTAATCTTCATCAGGCACAAACCTATACCTTTTCCCATCCTGAACTACAGACCACACACGGACACCATCAACCTCCCCTTTCTCAGGCCTACTGTTTCTCATCTAAGGTCCATAACTCAGGAGCAAACAAAAGCTCTGCACTATATCGACAGACACACTGGAGGCTTTGGGCTGGTCAAGAATCAATGTAGTCAAAAGAAAAACTTTCACTTGTGACCTGTTCACCTTCCAAGTCCCAGGAACATCTAATGCCCGATCCCATGAAAATGTTAGGTTTTATTGCATTCATCCACCTTGCAATTAAAATAAAAACAGAGGGAAGCCCTGGAACAATTGGATACCTCAGGAACTTGGATAAAACAGGTAAAGAAGTATTACCATACAACCTCCTTCTTACCCACCTTTGCTGAATGAAACTCAAAATTAGCTCAGAATTGAACCAATACTCTTGAATCAGTTTCATCTTTAATTCACCAGAACTTTTTAGATCCCTGGTCTACCCTCTTATTCCTCAACACTGCCTGACATGGGCTCAATGAGGAACCAGGCCCAATCTAGACTCACTCCAATCATAAACAACGACTACAAGTCACAGAGAATCAGAGAGCACAGTGTGATTTGGGAAACCAGCCTGATGATGAGGGAAAATATGAATCTAGGAGGTAAGTAGCCAGCCAGGCAGAATCCACAGGAAATAAGCAGGTTATGGAGCAGCAAGCAGGTGGAGGGCTGGCAGGGCAGAAGCTAAGCAAGCGTAATTAGGCGGGGAGGTAGGGAACAGGCCTTGCTCCCACGACTGCATGCACTGGGCAGCCGCAAAGGGATCACAAACAGACCCCCAAGTGGGGCAGAGGGAGCTCTCACCATTAGCAAAAATCCTATGAAAGACTGTTGGGAACAGAGCAGCCCGTAAGCGGGAGGGAGGAAAACAGAGAAAAGTTGTGAGCGATGGAGCAGCCATGCCCCAGACAAATGGTAACAATACACAGACACGGCACACAGAAATGTACACTGCACACAGATACACAGCAAATGAAAGCACTCACAGAAGGCACAGCCTGGAACCTCCTCTGGTAGGGTCTGGCCCCAGGGGGCGCAAATCAGATCTCACAACTATCTCTTGCCCTTTCCCAACCCCCTATCAATTCCTCTCTATTAATCCCAGTTTCCCTTCAAAAAGGTACAAGATTATATACCTTAACCCCTCTCCACTAATTGGCCTCTCCCTATAAATTACCTCCAGGAAGGCCTTGTCTCTTATCACCAGCCCACACCTGAGAATTTTGCTCTGTTCTCCCCACACCTTTCATCTTACCCCCGTGGTTCCCAAATTCCCGTGGCTCCCATGCCCAGAACCTCTCCCTCCCCTCACCAGAGCCAATCTTGATGAGTCCGTTGTGCTGGATGAAGATGGTGTCACAGGTCAGGTTCCCATGGATGATGGGAGGGTCACAGGAGTGCAGGTAGCTGTGGGGGCACTGGGCTGTTAGAGGGGCCTCTGGGAAATTAAGGGCAGGGGGAACCCAAGGGTTAAGAGGAGCAAGGGCCAGGTCTCCTGCTGGTCACAAGATAATCCCCATACTCTGAATCTCCATTATGCCTGATGGTTTAAATAGCTAGATACACACTTAGAGAAAAAAGTCGGAGATAGTGTTATAGTTTGGGCATTAGGAGGAACCATTTATAAGACCCATATAGGGGGCCTAATCTTGACAGTATATGACTCATAGAAAGTGGGAAGAGGCAGAATAGATCAGCAGAGTAGTGCCCTGCAATCTGTTTGGAGGAACTCAATCAGGAAATACATGGGAAAGAAGCTAACCACATATTACTTACCTTAGGGCAGAGAGGATTTGTGTGCACCAGCGCTTCCAAGCCTAGGACAGTTTGGTTCAGGGGTCAGCAGTAATCCCTTCTCTTAAACCTCCCACTGGTCCTTACCATCCCTCCGTCATCAGCATCATAAGTAACATATTCTTTTTAAACCCCCAATCCAGACTAAAACTTTTGTCTATCCTCCCTTTGTACCTTTTCATTCATAGTCTTGTGGTTCTTTTTGGTCTTCTTCAGAAATTGCTTAAGACTCCCAGATGACATGTACTCTGTGATAAAAATTACCTGGGGAGGCAAAGCACTTACTATAAGGCTTTATAGAAATGATCTCCTACCTGGTAACATTTATACCAAATGTATATTGAATTTGCATTTTTTTTCCAACTTTCTCTCCTTTTTTTCTTGGCATTACTTTCTTACACTAACTAGCACAATGAAAATTACTCTGCAGTAAGAACTATGGGAAGAAGGAAGCTAAAGTTCACTCATTTCTGCACCATTTATAAACACACAAAAGCCATAGATAGCTTCCATACAGCAGATTCCAGTTTTATTCCAAAACTACCCAGTTTCAAGTATAAAAGGAACAATAAATGTAGCCAGTCTCTTGCAATAAGCTCAGGAAATAGGGCAGAAAAAAAAAAAATCTTACCCTAGCCTTGTTCTCTTTAACATCAGCCCAGTACTTGTGAAACTTAACAATGTTGAGATGTTCCAACTGAATCAGATTATCAAACACTGCACGGACCTTTTCCTGGAGCAAAGGAGACAGTAGTATAACAGAGTTCACAAATTACTGCATTAATTATGAAAAGTCATTCCCTATCCCTCCCCAGAAATGATCTAACCCCACCATGGTCTCCTGGACAGGCACCAGGAGATTCCTTTTTAAACACCAGTTTTCTAACATCCCCAGGCTGTAGCTTTTCAGCACCACCTACCTCCTGCAGCTTGTAGTTCTTGCGCTCTGAGAATTGTACCTCATTCCACACCACCTCCACACCCTCCTCTGTATCCATGGCCAGGTATGCACTGTCAATACCTGGTACATTCCGCTGATTCACCTGTGAAGCAATTCAAATGGGATTAAAGTTACTTCACAACCCCTCCATTTTATTACTCTGCATGTTCATCAACTTCCAGCCCCCATCCTGCTGAAGTCTGGTCTGCCGCTTAGGACTGCCTCCAGTTCTCTCCTCTTACAATTATCTCTCTCAAGAATAACACAACCTAGGGTGAAAACGTAACTCAAGCAGTAGAGTGCCTGCCTAACAAGCATGAAGCCCTGAGTTCAAAACCCAGTATCACCAAGAGAAGTACCACCATCACCTTACCTCTTCTCGCCTCTTCTGCCAGCGCCCACAGGGTGACTCTTCCAAGATCTCAGACTCATCTTCACTTTCTTCTTCTTCCTCTGGGGAAGCAGCTGAGGTTGTAGAGGTCACAGGAGGTGACACTGAAGTCAGGCCAGGAGCTGAAGAGGAGGATTCTACTTTTGGGTCTGAGCCACCGCTGAGTACTGTCTGGGACTCTCCCTCCGACATACTGGAATGAACACTCAGGTCTGCATTGGTTGGGAAAGGACAGAGGGAGAAGTCAGAGAAGTCAAAATAGATCTACAAAGATTTGCTAATCCTAACAACCTCATATGCAGGTTCAAAGGAAATGAAATACATACCTCCCTGGTTTCTTTTAAATCCACAATCAGAACTATTCCTAAATACTAAAACATTAACTACTCTCGTAAATCTAGAGAAAGGGAGCTATCTTTGCTGAAGATGACCACACAGGAGTGGCAAACCCAAGATTTATGGCACTATAACCCCCTTTAGTAAGGTTCAAATAACCAACAACATCAGGTGCCCCATTCCTTCTCAGCAAATATTCACCCAATAGGCTTCCCTTTGAATCCCCAAGTACTCCTGTTGACACAGTGTTCAAGAACCATGCACTCAGGCACTATTCAGAATAGATAACTCCGGGCTCCAACCTGTTCCACTGAACCTGCCCTAAGGCTAGACCTGTACAACCCTCAGTCAATTTATCCAGCTGAAATCTTAAGCTGATCATACTGGAAGTAAGCTTAGCATTCATTATCCATCCTTCCTACACGCAGAATGAGCCAGCTGGTTCATGATGACACTCTTGACTTAGGTGACTGGCAGAGGTGACTTCATCCTTGATGACCTCACCTTCCCTATGATATGAGTGTGGTAAATGGGTAGGTATTGGCTAACATTTTTTCAATCACTCGATAAATGTTTAGTAAGCACTTATTGTGGGATACAAACTGGGCTTGGGATACAATAGTGAACAAAATTAATGAGTTTGCCTACACATTAGAGCTACAAATTCAAGGCAGATCTAAGACCTTAACTTTCCAGTTCTCATTTCATTCACACTGCTCAAAGGCTCTGAAGTTTCCATTGTCTGGGGCACTGGATCTGCCCCAGGTATTTCTTTCAAGTACAAATAACTGAAGATATAATAACATTTCTACAAGGGCATGGTTACTGTCAAAAGCTAAATGTCATTAACCCATACCACAGAGTGTCACAGGAAAACCACTGAATGTTATTCCACATCTCTAAGAACAAAGGCTATGGAGGAATTGGAACCTGTGTGTGCTAGGCTCAAGAGAGTGGTGTCCAGTATGAAAATGATATCCTGGAAAGTAAATATGCGCCTCGAAATTCAGAATGCCAGAAACTTCCAATTAACACCAATCTTTTAGAACTCTGATGCCTCCTTCTGCCCATCTCTACCCCAACCTACATTGTTAACCCAAGACAAGAGATTTTTATTAGATGACATTCTAGTAAATCCAAAGAGTAACAAAGCACTACAGAAAAAAATCTGGCAAGATATTCTTTCCCCATGTTAATTTCCAGGTCTTTGCCTATCTTAAATCCAGTTTAGCCAGCCAGAAAAGCTACAAATATCTGTACTTTAGTAATCTACCAGAAAAGCTGGGTTAGAGATAATTTTTCTTCTTCCCTTGCAAAGTAGCTAAAAAAAAAAAAAAAAAAAAGTAAAAAGGTCTGTATCAGTCACTTCCTGGAGCACCTATATTCACTGAATGCATCTACAATCTGCTGCTAAATAAAATTCTCAGCAAGAGTACAATAGGAGATACCAGTGGTATTTTAATATAGGAAGGCTGCAGCCAATGGGATCTAAAGAAACTTCTAGTTCAAGGGCACAGACAGCTAATCCACAACAGGGCACCATAGGAGAAGCCAAACCTCCCTTAGAGACAGATGCCCAGGAATGAACTTGTCCCCTCCCTCCCCAATCCCGTCCCAGTAGGCAGATGAGGGTGGCGGTGCCCACCATCTTCCAGCACTCCTGCTACTGAGGAAACGTGCAATACTGGGGGTTCTGCCGAGAGGTGAACAGAGATCACGCGTGGAAAAGCCCACTGACATCGTAAGGGCCAGCTCCTCGCCGCCTGCAGTCACCGGAGGCGCATGGCACGTTCACCGGTCACTTCGGTCATCCTACAAAGTTGTTCTCCCGGACTGTCAGAATTAACCTGCAAGCCCTCGGCCCGTCGACTCCGTTAAAAGCTCGCAGCCACAGGCCCCCTCGGCTGTTCTCACCCTGAGCAAACCCAGAAGGCCTCCGCGGCCCGCAGAACGGTCCGGTCGAAATAAGCGAGACCGGCGGAGGCAGGGGCCCGCAGACTCTCGCACTCCAACAGGTCGCCCTGTCGCTGTCTGGAAGCCAGCGGCGGCTGGCGCGGACGCCCAGCCTGGCGGGCCGAGAGCGCGGCGGCCACCTCACCAAAGGCCGGCCCCGCGGCGCAGTCTGGCCGCAGGCCACGCCCCCGCGCAGCCGGCGCGCCGCCCCCGCGAGCAGGCCCTGCCGGGACGCGGCGCTTCCTTCCGCAGGCCGTCGGGCCCCGGCCGCCGCCCCGCCCCCGCCCCCGCCGCCGACCCCGCCTCTCGCGGCCGGAGTTCCAAGCGAACGCCTGGGCCTCCCGACCCGCGCCAGCAGAATTCCGGACCGCCGCAGCCACGCCGGGGGAGGCCGGGCGGACGGACAGCGCCTTGGGGCCAAGGCAGCCCCTCGGCTGCTGCGGGCCGGGCCGGCCGGGCCTGGCTGCCGAGGGAGCAGGGCCGCCTGCAGCACCCGCCGGCCGGGTCCCACCGTCCCGGAGCTCGGGGGCAATCCCGCCGTCGCCTCGCGAACCTGTCCCCGCCCGAGCCTCCTTCTCCAGGCACTCACCTCCCGACTCCGCGCCTGCAGCCTGCGCTTCAGCTCCAGCTCGGGTTCCGGCACCCCGGATCACCGCGACTCCCTCACAGCTGCGCTCCGCAGCGCAACCGAACTGCGGGCCCCGCCCTCGCGGCGTCCGGACCAACAGATGGGCGGTGCCGCACCGCCGCCAGGTTTCCATTGGACAGGGCGGCGGGGGGCGGTGCCCGCAGGCCGGCCATCGCCGGCCAGTCTTCGGCCGCGTCTCCTCCCCTCCAGCCGCTCGGCCTCCGCCTCGCCGGGGGTGCGGTCCTCTTGCTCTGCGCTGGGCTTCGCCTCTGTCCACCCCTCCGCCCGGTCCAGGTGCCTCCAGTGATTCTGCTGGACGAAGGGAAGGCCTTCTCCCTCTTCTCGAAGGCGCCATGACAGTCGTAATCCCACCAAGAGACAAAAGGAGCGGAAGACGTAGCCTCCATTCGAGGGGCGAGCCCATCCACCTTCACTGTTTGGGGACTGGACAGTGCGCAGGACACCAGTTCTTCAGGAAGCCTGAAAAAAACATAAAAGGCGCTGAAAATTGACAGCGCTTTGCATAGCAGTATTTGCCAAAACTTTGCAAGAGGTTTTTCACTGATGTTATCTGATCTGGTCCTCACAAGAACGAACTCGTTGAAATTATTCGATGATAGTTAGCAAATGCAAAAAAATAAAAAATCGGAAGTATTACGTTATTTATCGAAATTAAGTTGATGAGAGCCAAATCTAGAATCCGAAACAGTAAGATCAAAGCTTTCCTTGAAAAGATGTTTGGAAATAATGATTGGTTGCGAAGAAGCGCAAAGAAAGGGTGATAGGTTTTGGGTGAGTCGTGGATCTTCACAAAGTAACGCGGAAACCGGAGGGTGGAAATCCATCCTGCTGTAGACGTGTATTGCATTATGAGGCAGGAGGACGAACCAGTCATCCGAATTTGGGAATGTTACTATCACCTGAGTTCACTGTCCCTTAGGGACTCTCTAATCCTACCTCACTTGGAGAAAGAAGGAAATCTGACAGAAACTCATTTTCTCACCTCTTCACCTTAAAACATTTACTTTAAAAACCAATCTTTCCTTCTTTAGTTCTTTTACCTTTGGGAGGACTCAAACACCCTTTTTTAGAAATCTGATGGAAGTTATGGACCTACTTTTGAATTAAAAAATGCATTTTCCGGGCTGGGGGAGTGGCTCAAGTAGTAAAGCAATTGCCCAGAAAGCACAAGGCCCTGACTTCAAACCTCAGTACCACCAAAAAAACACACGCGCAAAAATGCATTCACCTACCAAATTTAGCATACAATTTCAGTGTTGAGGTTAACAATCTTTGCTCTAGACTCAAAGGGAAGGATGTTCCTTCTCTCTAGATTAACCTTTTTCCCCATATGAGCTCCAAAGCAATTGGAACGTTCGCCTGCCCCATGAAAAACATCAAGTACTACCAGTTCACGTTATCATTTGAGTTTCCCATTCTCTTCTGTCTGGGGCCTCTGCCTTACCAACCTTTCCTTTCAACTAGCGCCTTTCAAATACGCATAGACGACTCTTTGACAACTTCAAGCTCTTATTTTAAAACTTTCATGCTTAAAATGATCAAATACTGCCCACAATTTAATCACTTTATTTTTCCCCTCTTACAAAAGTAAGAAATACACAAAAGAAAAACAAAGAAAATGAAAAAAAAATACATGCTTATTGTTAAAAATTAAAAATACTTCAAAAATATTTTAGTATACCATAGTATTGCCATAGTAGCTTCTATGAGCCAGGCACTGTTTCAATGACTTTATAACATTAACTCATTTCATCCTCACAACAATCATATAAATATTAACAATTATAGAGAGTGAAATCTCTTATCTGTCTTCCACCAAATGATTAAAACTTGGATGTAGCCAGGGACCGGTGGCTCACACCTATAATGCTAGCTACTCAGGAGGCAGAGATCAGGGGGATCACGGTTCAAAGCCAGCCTGGGCAAATAGTTCCACAAGACCCTATCTCAAAAAACCCTTCACAAAACTAGGGCTGGTGGAGTGGCTCAAGGTGAAGGCCCTGAGTTCAAGGCCCAGTATTGCCAAAAAAAAAAGAAAAAAGAAAGACTTGAATGTATATTTCACCATGTTTCTTTTTCTGTGTTATTATGTGTATTAATATGTGTATAAAATTATAAAATAAAAACAAGTGTATCCTACATCATTTACTCTCTTCACTTTTTCCCATGATGGTGCACATTACAATTTTTTAACCACTACTTTTTTTTGGCAGTAGTGGTGTTTGAACTCAGGGCTTTGTGCTTTCTAGTTAGGACCTCCACTCTTTAAGCCACACCTCCAGCCCTAATTTTTAATTTTTTACTCTACCAATAAAGTATTCCATTTTCCAAATGTGCCAACATTTAATTAATAACTACCAGTGGGCATTGGAATAATTTCAAACATTTATTGTTTTAAATAAAACCACAATGAATATTCTGCTAGCTACAGCTTTGCCAATTTGTAAAAGTGATTTTTACAAATTCTTAAAAATGAAGCTAAGTGTGGTGGCAAATGTCTGTAATCCCAGAATTTGAGGGGCTGAGGCAGGCCAATCTCAAGTTCTAGCCGTCCTGGGCTACATAGTGAGTTCTAGGCCAGTCTCATCTACATAAAAAGACTGACTCAAAAAAAAAATGGATTTTCTGAGTCACAAGCTAAGAACATACACCTACTAGAATGGCCAAAATCCGGAATACTGACAACACCAAGTGCTAGCTAGGACGTGGAGCAACAGGAACTCTCATTACAGTGGGAATGCAAAATGGTACAGTTACTTTGGAAGACAGTTTGGTGGTTTCTTATAAAACTAAATGTACTTGGAGCTGGGAGCAGTAGAGTACCTGCTAAGCCTGTGCAAAGCCCTGGGTTCAAGCCCCAGCACCATAGAAAAAGAAACACGGTGAAATACACATTCAAGTCTTAATCATTCGGTGAAGAATGTTGATAATGGTGGAAGCTATACATTTATAAGGGGATGGGGCATATGGGAAATTTCTGTGCCTCCCTCTCAATTTCACTGTGAAACTAAAACTCTTAAAAAAGTCTTCCAGTGTTGGTGGGGAAGAGTGAGGAAAGGGTGGAAGAGAGTGAATGTAATGGAAATATCATGTACTCATGTATGAAAATAGAAAAATGAGGCCTGTTGAAACTATTCCAGCAATGGGGGGAGAGAAGGATAAAGAATGATGGAGGAGGTGGATTCAACTATGATAAATTGTAAGAACTTCTGTAAATGTCACAGTGTTCCCCCAGTACAACAATAATATGATAATAAAAATAATAGTCTTCAAGAAAAAGGCTATCTCAGCTACGCAGCAGGCAGAGATCTGGAGGATTGTGCTTCAAGGCCAGCCTGGGGAAATAATTTGCAAGACCTCACTCATCTCCAAAAATACTGAAGCAAAAATGGACAGGAGGTTTTACTCAAGCAGTAGAATACCTGATTTGCAAGCTAGAAGCCCGACTTCAAATTCCAGTCCCACCAAAAAAGAAAAATCCAGGTATAGTGGTACATGTCTATAATCCCAGCTAGGTGGGAAGTGGAGGTAGGAGGATTGCAGTCTGACACCAGCACAAGCAAAAAGTGCTATACCATACCTGAAAAATAAAGGAAAGCTAAAAGGGGTTGAGGCATGCCTCAAGTGGCAGAGCACTTACCTAGCAAGTACAAGGCCTTGTTTTCAAACCCCCATACCACCAAGGGAGGGGTGGTTAAAGAGCTAATACATATGGATGGATGAAGCCCACCTCCCTTGCATGGGGGATGTGTATATTTATCAGATCAAAACCATCCAGAGAGCCCCTAGCCCCCCAAAAGAAGGCTAAGAACATCTTAAATTTGAATCAATATTGACAAACTACTGTTCAAAAAGATGTCAAATAATAATATGATACCTTTTTGGCTGGGTTCCCATTTCTGGACATCTTTACCAACACCAATACCAATTTTTTCAACTTTGGTGACATATTAATTTTAAAATGATTCCCCCAAATTAAAAAATATATTAAAAATGCAAAAAAATAAACAAACTACAGGCAAACAAAAAAAAAGATATCCTGGGCTGAGAGTGTAGCTCAATGGTAGAGCACCTGCCTATCATGTGTCAGAGCCTGGATTGATCCCCAGCACTAGACAGAGAGAGCAAGACCAAGTGATCAGAAAGCCAGAGAGGGGGGGGTTGTACCCAATTGCAGACAGAGTGAAACATTTTTAATATTTTTATTGCCAAACCGTATTTCCCTTTCAGTTTCTTGCCTACTTAAGTTCTTTACATTTTTTTTTTTAGATTGGGTTGATCATCTTTTTTTTTTTTTTTTAGACAGGCTGGCTTCCAACTCATGATCCTCTGCCTCAGGAGGCAGTCATGTACCACCACACCGGTTTAGAACTTTTTGTATATTAGGAGAGTCCTATTGTCTTTTCAACCTCCTACAATGTAAATATCATCTTATCTCTCCTAAAGCTTTATTCTCGGTTTATTATAAATAAGCTGGGTGCTGGTGGCTCACACCTATAATCCTAGCTATTTGGGAGGCTGAGATCAGGAGGATCATGGTTTGAGGCTAGCCCTGGAAAAT